AGAGAGAGAGAGAGAGAGAGAGAGAGAGAGAGAGAGAGATACACACACACGCATATAGATATGCACACACATGTGAAATTCTCAACTGAAGCCATAAAAGCCTATTTAAGCCCTAAATTATTAATAACTCTGGCCAGAGTATCAGAGCCAGAAGCAAGGTGTTATATTATAGGGTTGAGGCACACTTCCCTCTCCCGATCCCCACACTGCAGCCAGGGAGTCCTGTCAAATACAAATCGATGCAATCTTCATGATGAAAACACTTCAGTGGATTGTCACTGCCCTTGCCACAGCTCCTTGGCAAGACCCCCTTGACATCTGTCTTCCTCTTACCAACCTGTCCTCATTGGAACTGCAGGCCTCCCAAGCTTCTTGGCAAACCCTGAAGAGACTGCGATGAAGGGTGTGTCACTCCAAAATATGCCATTTTGACAGAAAGATGTTTTGACCTGAAAGCAACTAGCTCTCTAAAAGCAGGGCATAAATTTCTGTCTAAAAGCAGGGCATCAATTTCCCTTTGTAATGGTGCCCCCTCTCACATACTGGGAAGAAAATTACTCCACAGGGTAATTTTCACCTGAGAAGGGTTCTTATTTGCATTACAAACCTTACTAACCAATCCTTATTTAACACACGTTTCCTAGTCACCTTCTCATAACTTATCCCCATCCAGAATCCTGAACTCCTGTTCTTCTGTCTAGCCTCTTCTCCAGGCTTGATCATCCTTTGTTAAAAGGGTATATAATAAGCCCCAAATTCTGACCACCTCCTTGAGGCACATTTCTTTGTGACGTCTGTGAACTTTGGATATATAGGTAATGAAACTTGCTTTTCTTTTCTCTTGCTAATCTGTCTTGCCCATTTAATTTGCAGGGCTCCAAGAAGGCAGAGGAGAAAGTTTTTCCTCTCTTACGATGTCCTCTCATACCTCAGGGCCTTTGCACTTACTAATAAACCCTGATGCTAGACCCGACTGCCCTGGGAACTAGCAAAATCTGCCTTAATTCAGACATCTCCTTGTCCAGACAGCCCTCGGAGGTCAGCACGTCCCCAGACTCCTGTCCATCACCCAAGGTTAGACTGGTCGCCCATCATCTTTGCTTCCACAGACCCGTGATCTGTCCCAAACCACAGCATTTATCCCACTACGTTTTTCCCAAAGACAGAGTTTCTTGTCTGCATCCCCCAAGAGACTATGCCTGAATGAATATGAATTAATAAGCCAAGATATTTGCTGTGTTAAACAAAACAATCCTAACTGGTTCACTCTCAAGTAATAACTATCAGGCAGCACAGGGAGACCTCTGAATCCCCAGGGCTGTCAGGGCAGGTGAGTGAGGTCTGCCAGGGGTTCTTCTTCAGAGCCAAGGCCAGCCAAACGCCTTTATAGGCTCAGCGTGGTCATGCTATTATTTTGGTTTGGTTTGGTTTGGTTGATTTTGGTTTATTGATTTTGGTCTGTTGTTTGCTTCTATTCTGCTTTTGGTGTCTTAGTATCTTCTAAGATGCTGTAATGGGATGAATGGTGGCTAGGAAATAAGGAAACCTAGTTACTGGCTGCATTTTAACTACTGTATCACCTCTATACTTACTCTCCTCCCATCTACAAATTGAGGGAATAGTATAAGAATGGTTCCTACATGCTGATGCCCACAGTCACCAGGGACGCCTGTAATAAACACAGTTACCCCTCTAGAGCTCAGGTACTGTGAGGAGCAGCCTGGTTTGGGGACCACTGGAAGTGGCAGAAATTTGGAATCAAGTCACGCGGCAGGGGGAGAGGGGGAATCGAGTTCTAATTCCTCTACTCACTTCCTGTGTGACCTTAAGCAAATTACTTTACCTCTCTGTACCTCGGTTTACTTGCTTGCTGGAGCAGAAATAGTAACTCATTTACAGGGTTGAAGGGAAAACTAATGTACAGAGTACCAACTGGTGGCTGACCCACAGCAGATGCTCAGCAAATGATAGTGAAACCCCTTTCCTCTTTACGTATAGCCTCACAGCACGCTGCCATGTCTCTGCCACGGCCCTTAGGAGTTTCCAGAGGGCAGGGCATCTCTGCCTAATTCCCCACCCCATCCCTGGTGCCCAGCCGAGTGCCCATGATAATACGCAGCATTTGAGCAGACACTCAACAGAAATTATTGCATTAATGAATCAGTGACTTACTAGAATATACTAACATAACCAGCTTCCTTTCTTCTTCCACTAGAGTGTAAACTCCTCCAAAGCAGGGACCATTTCTTCTTCACTGATCAAAAACCAGCACTTTATATAGTGCCTATCACGTGATTGTTGAACTAATTAAATGATTCCCCAAATCCCTTTCCAATGCACGGATTCTAAGGATCTGTGGCTTCAGGAGAACTGGGGCAGAATTAGTTGCGAACATTTGTCTGTCCTGTACCTGTTTGGCCAGTAAGTACCTACACATCTACAGTTGAAAAATTATAACAATTGTAATGAAATATTGAGTTGTCGGAAAAGTCATGACGTACTTTTTCTCTTTTTCATTGCAAAAATGCGTCATGACTTTTCCAACAACCCAATAATTAGGTAGTTTTTGCATGCCTCCCTCACCTGCTAAAAATATCTGCACCGTGAGGGAATATAAAATATCCTGTTCAGCATCATATCCGACAGCCTGGCAAGAGCTTTGCAACACATGTAAACATTTGCTAAATGAATGAATGAAGTGGATGAATTATTGAATGAATATTCTTTTTGCAAGTCTAAGTAAGGCAGAATGTCCCACTTTTAGAACTCCTTCCTAATTAAATTCAAAATTGCTACTTAGGTATGATAAAATATTTAAAAATAAAAACAGCAGATGTTTGATCTCTGGGCGGTGGAGAGTTTCTTTTCTAAAATCCTTAATTTAGTTTATGCTGCGGGAAATTCACCAAAACGCTGGCACCCACAAAGCTCAGACAATATGTCACCCTAACTAAAACACACTCTGCATCCGCAGAGATGACTATCACTAGTTGACGTTTAAAAGTATTTTGACCAGTCATCTCTGAACATATCGACGTTCAGAAATCACACTAACTAATGTGATTTTAAGATAAAGGAATGGGATCAGTAACCAAGTGATACAAATCAGCTCACTACAATAATAAGACTTACATTTAACAAAGGCAAATCAAGAGCAGATGGAGGTGTTGGTGGGAGCCAAAAATTTAACCTTTATCTTTACAAAATTTTCAAAATTGATTCAGTAATAATTCAGCAAAATTACAGCTCTAGCCTCCAGTGAATTCCAACGGGGTAAAGTGGGGCACAATGACTAAGGAAGGATGTTTAGACTAAAGGGGCTGCGTCACCAGAAAAAAATGGCACCGATTCAAATGCACAATTAGAAGTGGGTGAGCATACAAAGGTCACTTTTTGGTAATTCCCACGGACTGTAATACGCTACAAAGAGACAGGGTGAAGCCCACGCAGCAAGGCAAGGGGTGCAGTCGATCACCCCCACGCTATTCTGAAAGCATGCTGTGTACTTAATCTTTCTTGAAGGTTTAATCACCTTAACAAAACAAAGCCCTATAATGAAGCCAGCCAATGACGTAAGACAAACACAGTGCACACACAGTGAGCCATTATCATCCTTCCATCGTTCTGCAGCCCCATGCACAGCACACCTGGCAGCACCACTAAACCAGCCATGGCATCCAGGAAGACCGCAGCCTCTGCAGCAGCGAGGTTTGCTATTTTCTCTGATTCAGCACTCACCCTGAGGGGGCTGAAAGGCCAGGTGGGGGTAGGAGAGCCCAGGCGAGCCTGACGTGAAGCCTTTAACGAAGGGAAATGTCAACTAACAAAAACTGCAGGTCTCCAGTGAAATTTAACTCCCAATTCTTTTGAGTTGGCATCGCTTTCCTTGACTTAAACCCTCACGGATCTAAAGAGAACACTGTAATCATACCCCCAGGAAGAGCTAAATAAATACAACATACTCACAGATTTTGACCAGCTGTAACTTTGGAGGGATGAATCTAGCCCCACTGTGAAGATGCTTTTCCCTCTCTTCTACCAGATTTTTTTAAAAGCCAAAAAAAAGAGATAGTCCTCAATTTAAAAGCCAACAAAAATCCTCAATTCCTGTTTTATTTCTTGGTCTCCAGTAAGCCTCTCAATTACCACGCCTGAGAAAAGAAGTTGCCGAGGCATCTGACAGCATCCCAGCGCTTCCCAGCGCAGAATGTAAGGCATGTCAGTTAAAGTGGCAGCTACGCTCACTGCCTCACTGCCGCTCACTGCCTCACTGCCGGAGCCGATGCTTCCGCAGGGACGGATGCCGGGAGATTCGCCCCCAATCTCTCCTGCAACTGAATGCCAATCCATCACTGTTTAATTATCCTAGGGATACAGACAAGAAAAATAAAAATGGCCTGGGTCTTTTGATGATGTTTCACATGATCCAGGGATTTACCTACATCAAAAAAAAAGGCCAATTGCAGAATATAATGGATTACCTCTTTTGTTTCAAGGAAAATGTAAAAGCGGGCTGATGCTCCCGGGTTAGACTTGGATTTTATATCCCAGGGACTTTTTAAAAATACTAAATAAGGGCAAATCACATCCTCTGAAGTTTTGGGTCTAACCGGTTAAATCCACAAGTTAAACTAGCGGAGTGAATTAAAAAACGCTCATGTCACTGGAAACAGCACTTTGAAATTAATACTAGATAAACAATATTTGACCTAGTTTTGATGAAAATTTTTTTAAAGTAGGCTTAGAGATGGTAAATGCCTTGACAACTCTCTCGTCTTGCCTTTAACTCTTGCACATACTAGAAATGAACCATTTTTTTTTACAATGGGGCTCACCATTTTATCTGATTATACAAGTTTTAGGTAATGTGTTCTGATATTTTCTAATTATAAAATAATAAACTCCTTGGCGAGAACTGGAAAACAAAGAAGAAAATTAAAACCAGCCATAATCTCATAACCCAGAGATAAACACTGCTAATATTTTGTAATACTTACTTCATCTTCTTCCTCCATATATACTGGGTTGTCAGAAAAGTCATGACATATATTTCTGTTTATTTGTTGCAAAAATGCGTCATGATTTTTCCGACAACCCAATATATACACACATTTTTCCTTAATTCTATTGTATACTACCTTTTTTACACAGTACTATGTTATGATAAGTGTGACCCATTGTTAACCACCAATATTTTTTTTTTTAAGATTTTTATTGGGGAATTGGGATGGGAACAGTGCTGGGGAATTGGGGGAAGGGGAACAGACAAGTTGCTGTTGTTTTGTTCTTCAGTCTAGTTGTGGAGGACGTTGCTTCACTGGNCCCAAAGAAGGTATAACAATACCTGTGATATAAAACACCTGTCCTGTCTACCTCACAGGGATATTATGAGGAAGAAATGCATTGTTTTATAAAATCACTTTTTAAACTGAAGCATCACGTAAATGTGGTGCTGATGTTGTTAAAGATTTAAACGACTGGGGCCAAGAACTTCTATTAGATAGACCATTACATTCCTGCCACTCAGCAGCTGAGCGTTTCCTGCAGTTGTGGGGCAGAGGCCATGCAAGCAGCCCTTGGCCATTTAATTACGTCCCTCAGAGGACAGATGCAGACAAATGCAGGTTTTCAGGGTGACACTGAATGGGAGGAAGCTCTTTATCATTTCTTTTAAAACATCACAACCTAAAACAAAGAGTGGCAAAAACAAAAGAAAATTTGTAAAAGCAATGCTGAAAATAATATCCTTTCATTTGGCTCTCAAAATGAAGGCTACGCAAGTAATTTTTTTCAGGCTAGGCAATGTGTCTCTCCTCTGGGTTCCTCGGTCAGAATTTAAAACTCATCATAGTACAATTATTGGATTCTTTTAAGTTGTGGTGAATCGATTATGAGTCTTAAGGACAGGAACTCTCTGGCTTAGTCGAGAGAGGCTCAATTATTTTTTGACGAATGAATGGTATTTTTATTGATTCTGTATTAGACTGTTGTACCAAATACAGTCATAATACTTGGCGTTTTGTACCATATGTAGATCATGGAAAGTACCCATGAACATATTATCACAGACTCCTTCATTCACAAATAAGCAGCTTTCAGTAAATTCAAGGGCTTTCCCCACAAACATCTACTAGGTAAGACAAACAAAAGAGAAGGAGAAACATATGGATATTCAAGTAATTAAGTGCCTAAGTATAATTTTCTTTAGATCTTCAATGTGTGGCTGTTTTCATAGTTGGTGTGCTGTATTTATTCGGCCTTAATATCAAGCAGACACACAAAATGATTTTGCTATACAGGGATGTTATTGCCTAAAAAAAACAAAAACACCTAAGCTAATATTAAGGAAGGGTGATACTATATAGTAGGGCTACAAATGCTATATAGTAGGGCCTGGTTTTCTGGATCCTGGAAAGGCTCAAATTCTGCCTTACCCACTAATTAAAAAGATAATGACTACTGGGCCGGCCGAGTGGCTCAGTTAGTTAAGAGCTTGCTCAAGACTGCAAGCTCAGGGCCAACTGAGAGGCTCAGTTGGTTAAGAGCTCGCTCAAGAGTTTGAGCTCTGAGCAACAGCAGTTTAAGTCCCGGCCCGAGCTGAGCAGCTGCTGAGCTGACAACAGGTGGCAGGATGGCTCAGCTAAAAAAAAAAAAAGAGTGCTAGCTCTGAGCAACAGGGTTACCAGTTCGAATCCCACATGGGCCAGTGAGCTGCACATGAGCTGAGCTGCCAATAGGTAGCAGGATGGCTCAGCTGGTGAGAGCACGTGCTCCTAACAACAGGGTTGCCTGTTCCAGACCGTGGGCTACGCCCGCCTGCAACTAAAGACTGAACTCAGCACCTTGAGCTGAGCCAGGCCTGGATGGCTCAGTGGATGGAGTGTGCGCTCCTAACAACAAGGCTGCCAGGTTCGACTCCTGCATAGGATGGTGGCTACGCCCACCTGCAACTAATTGAACACAGCACCTTGAGCTGAGCAGAGCAACTGAACATGGAGATGAGCTAGCTGCATCCTCCATAACTAAGACTAAAGGACAACAACTTGGCTGTTCCCCTTCCCCAATTCCCCAACACTGTTCCCCTCCCCCAATTCCCCAATAAAATCTTAAAAAATAATAATAATGACTATAGCCCCAAACCACAAGAGAAATTCAAGTTTTGGTTCCATACTTCCCTGCTTTCTAAAACACAGTCATTTGTCATGACTTGAAATGAGATATTCCATAACCCACTAATCTAAAACAATCACCAACGAAATCCATTCATACCACTTGAATGGTCACTAAAGACTTTCCACACCTACAGACTGATGAAATATCAACAGAAAAGTAACCCACGCATCAAATTCACATCAAACTCACGTTCATGTGCTCTGCTCCTATATGCAGTCCTGCCCTTTTAAAAACGAGCCAAACACATAAGTGTAAGTGTGGTGTTAAAAAGTAGAAAGCAAGTGCAAAATGTTAGGAAGATCTCTGGGCATGAGACCAAAAAGGAAAAACAACAAACCCTAAGCATTTTTCATGACACATGTATCCAGCGCACTGTGGGTTAAAAAACACACACACCACACACACACAAAGGAAGGGAGGGGGCTGCCTACACACCCTCAGTCAACCTATAACTAACAGATACAACAGCTTCAAGGAGCACAGATGTGCCAACTTTTAGCACGGTGGAGTCACGGTCAGCACTCTGAATGACCTTGGGCCTCTGGTGTAAACTTGGTGCACCTCATCTTCCTCATCTGTAAAAGGAGAATGACAAGACCAAGTAGCACAGTAGTTGAAGATATGACAGACTTAGCATAGGTACTGGGCCTGGCACAAAAGACGTTTTTAAAAGATTCTAGTTCATTTCTTCTCAACTAAGCTATGAAAATGATGACACAGCAAAAAGATGCAAAACTTTCCTCACTGCTTTGTTCAGGAAACCACACAGAGCCTCAAAATGCCCTATCTCATGACAGGCCTGAGAGCCCCCCCACTAATCAAATGAGAGATCTGATGCAAAAAATGAGAAATTAAAACTATACAAGTTGTAAGTGGGTTATTTCCTATAAGTTTGTAAGTCACTGGGTCGGAAATCAATGCATATTTTCTATAAATATCATAACTGAAACATATCTACATCTATATATCTATATGTATATGTGTCATCTATATCTACACACACACNTACATAAAATCATACAGTTCATACTCTCAAACATGATATCTGAGTGAAAATAAATTATAAATTTTACATAATTCACAACTTTTTACTACCATGTTGCTAAGTCACATCTTTTTTTATTCTGTTTACAATTATAAGTTCCTGAATTTGGGTCAAAAGTTCAACTAAAAGGAGGATAAAAAAAGATGTGACTTAGCAACATGGAAGTAAAAAACTGTGAATTATTTAAAAGGAACTTAGAAACACGATAGGATATTAACCCTGATTGCAACGTAAGCTGTATTGATAGAAGTATCATATCTAGAGAGGAGAAAGTGATAATCTGTCCTAAGTTTCTTTTAATTGACTCTTTTTTTAAATATTTAATCAACTCTCCATCAAAGTGTAAACTCCTTGAAGGCAAGATTCTATCACAGCTCCCAGCAGAGCCGGGTGATGTCAGCAAACTATCTGCCAAGTGTCCCCCAGGCAGATACGTCTTGCAAGTGGAAACCTTCAGTGAGACTGTGCTGATGGACTGACTGAACAAATGGACAAGCGAAGGAGTGAACAGGGGATAGCACCACTCTTGTCTGGTCAGACACACCACACCTAGCCTATCTGATGTTCTAGACACACTGTTCTAAGGCCACTAACGGCTGGAAAGGCAACTGAAAGTCACCAACCAGGAAGAGAAAGGACTCAAAACCAGTTTAACAGAGGAAAGAGTCCAAGGTGATCGAGAAGCTGAACTTGGAAGGAGGAGGAGCTGGAGGAAGCAGAGAAAAGGAACAAACAGGAACGCTATTTCACTTGGAAGATTCCATTCCTCCTTGGAGACCACCTTTTCTGGAACTGCTACTCCCAAGAGACTAAAAACCAAACCAAAACAACCCACACAATAATGTGTATACAGAGAGAGAATAATAAAACAAATATGGCAACATGTTAAAAATGGGTTCAGGGTAGACATAGCTGCTCTGTATTATTCTCATACTTTTCCACTAAGTTTGGAATTATTGCAAAGTAAGAAAATGTTTTTAAATGACAGGTTAGATGACCCTAGCAAAGCGGACCAAATGACAGTGGTACTGGACCTCAC